GCCTCTCTGACCAGTTTCCTCCTGGCTCTTTCATCAAGTTTGGAGCGATGTCCTGATCCAGGGAGGGTCTGTGTTGTACCAAATACCTTCCATTTCTTAATAATAGACTTCACTGTGCTTCTAGGCATTGATAAAGCATTTGACATTTTTTTGTATCCATCTCCTGACTTGTTCCTGTCCACAGCTTTATCCCGGAAATCTTCTGACTGTGCCTTGCCACCCATAGTTGATTGTTTGTTTCAGGTGCACTTCTGAGGACTGAAATGCTCCAGGAAAGCTCCTTTCATGCTGAGCTGATCAAAATGATCACAGCTGAAAGTCAAATGGTTTTGTGTGCCATTTGAGAAGGTGATTAGCTACACCTGATTGAGTTTACAAGTCATTTTTAGGAGTGGGGTGATCCTTTTTTTTCCTGACATGTTGGTGTTATATCTTTCACTTGGATGTTATAAGTTGCACTGAGTAAATGCAGCTGGATAAAACAAAAACTTTGTCCATCTTCATTTCAGGCTGCAAAGCAACAAAATGTGATTATTTTAAAGGGGGTGATTATTTTCTATACCCACTGTATATGATATTTTGTGATCCGTATATGTAACAAAATGTGTTGCTCCATCAATGTTCAATAATAAGATATAATATATGATATAAAATATATGTATTTTCTGAAATCATACTGTGGAGGCTCATTTTCCTTAAGGTGTGCCTTTAGCCACATTGTACACTATATCATTTTTGCCTTTGGTTTTCTCTTCTATCCCCAGATGAAAATGGTTATAGCACTGGTGGTTGTCATCCTTCTCCTCATCATAATCAGTAAGTCCACTCCAGGCACACTTCTTCATGCTTACAAGAATTTAACCATATAAAGGGGGAAAATTTAGATCGGTCAGTACAATCCATTTGGTTTCATGCTGAGGCTGGGGGCATTTGATTTTCTTCTGATTTTGCAACCTTCTTTTCCCTCTTTTTTTGTTTTTGCAGTTCCCGTGATCTTGCGGTATCGCTAGTCTCTGGTAGGGAGGTTAGAGGCACGATGTACTCTTCCTCCCTCCTCTCCCTCGTCTTTCTGCTGTCATTCCTCCGTACCAGAGGGGGCGCTGCATAGGGTTGGGCTGCCCACTGTATTTGCCTATTTTGGCAGAGTCTGGAAACATAACAAACAGGGGCAGAGTTTACAACACTGGTGCAGACCAATCTCTTGTATGCGCACAAACACAATGGTTATTTTGTTGTACATGCATTCAGTAAGAAAATTAAAGATTTACTATACACAATGAAACATAAAGAAAAAAATGTTAGCCCTGCAATTCCGGTGGTATTTCGATGTCCTATTTATAGTTAATTAGACGTTAGAGCCGCTTCGCTTACACCATAATACACACGTTTAACAATTAAACTGGATCCATTTCCCACAAAGGTAGGTCTAGAAATACTGTCTTCTCAGGTGGGTGGGGCCAAACGGGAAACCTGATGATGTCACACTGTACCATGGCTGTGATGTCATCATCTGTATAACTCCTGTAAGTTTTAACATGGGCAAAACATTGGGTATAATTCAAGTTAGTCTGAAATCTTTCACTTGGATGTTATAAGTTGCACTGAGTAAATGCAGCTGGATAAAACAAAAACTTTGTCCATCTTCATTTCAGGCTGCAAAGCAACAAAATGTGATTATTTTAAAGGGGGTGATTATTTTCTATACCCACTGTATATGATATTTTGTGATCCGTATATGTAACAAAATGTGTTGCTCCATCAATGTTCAATAGTAAGATATAATATATGATATAAAATATATGTATTTTCTGAAATCATACTGTGGAGGCTCATTTTCCTTAAGGTGTGCCTTTAGTCACATTGTACACTATATCATTTTTGCCTTTGGTTTTCTCTTCTATCCCCAGATGAAAATGGTTATAGCACTGGTGGTTGTCATCCTTCTCCTCATCATAATCAGTAAGTCCACTCCAGGCACACTTCTTCATGCTTACAAGAATTTAACCATATAAAGGGGGAAAATTTAGATCGGTCAGTACAATCCATTTGGTTTCATGCTGAGGCTGGGGGCATTTGATTTTCTTCTGATTTTGCAACCTTCTTTTCCCTCTTTTTTTGTTTTTGCAGTTCCCGTGATCTTGCGGTATCGCTAGTCTCTGGTAGGGAGGTTAGAGGCATGATGTACTCTTCCTCCCTCCTCTCCCTCGTCTTTCTGCTGTCATTCCTCCGTACCAGAGGGGGCGCTGCATAGGGTTGGGCTGCCCACTGTATTTGCCTATTTTGGCAGAGTCTGGAAACATAACAAACAGGGGCAGAGTTTACAACACTGGTGCAGACCAATCTCTTGTATGCGCACAAACACAATGGTTATTTTGTTGTACATGCATTCAGTAAGAAAATTAAAGATTTACTATACACAATGAAACATAAAGAAAAAAATGTTAGCCCTGCAATTCCGGTGGTATTTCGATGTCCTATTTATAGTTAATTAGACGTTAGAGCCGCTTCGCTTACACCATAATACACACGTTTAACAATTAAACTGGATCCATTTCCCACAAAGGTAGGTCTAGAAATACTGTCTTCTCAGGTGGGTGGGGCCAAACGGGAAACCTGATGATGTCACACTGTACCATGGCTGTGATGTCATCATCTGTATAACTCCTGTAAGTTTTAACATGGGCAAAACATTGGGTATAATTCAAGTTAGTCTGAAAGGCAACAAGTAATGTTACTTAATATTTGCTGCTATTACTTGCTGTAATGTTGTTTGCATATTTGGCAACAAAGTTTTAATTGACTGTGGTTAATTGTGTTGAGTTGGTTATTATTTTATATATGAAGGAATTCTTATCGGCATTTTTAACAGTTTATCATGCTTGTAAAATGGATTATGTAAAAATGTTAGTTATCTTCACTGGTCACTGGTGTAATTTTAACAGCTTGTTATAGGTCAGTAATGTGATAGTTGTGTGTGTGATGATGATTTGGTTGACTGTTGCTGAAGGTGACCTGAACACATCTGTACATTTGGTTTAATCCATATTATTTTACAGATTTTTTTTTGGGGGGGGTTTTGTTATATTTATTTGTAAATATCTATTCCCTGAGTCAGTTAGCACTGGCTTTCCATTGGAAGACTGTGAAATAATCTTGCATTTAAAATAAAGCGATTTTAAAGGGCATCTGATCTGATTCATTGCGTTGGAATTGAGGTGTCTTCAGTCCTGGCGTGATCTGACAGGATTACAGCAAGAAGCAATATATCAAACAATACAGGACTCGACGATAACAAAAAAAAGAATTTTACTTCAATGCTTTTGTGTTCAGTCTCCCCAAGAAACTTTGCGAATGTATTCGTTTTGCAAACGAACGCAGCATTTCATGGAGGATCAAATACTTTTGCAAGGGAACGCAAAGTTTCTCAAGAGGAACGCAAACGGAGAGCCCAGTCCTTTTGAGAGAAGACACAAAAGTTTTGTGAGAGATTGAAATATTTATGGGCTCCATAGAAAGGCCTTTAACTCGTGTTTTCATGACATGGGTGATGCTTTAGAACATGTTCAGTGGGTTCATAATTCCCTTTTTATATATCTCCAAATATTTACAGCGTAACTCTGCTGACCTGAACTATACTTACCAAGGTAAATGGCTTGTCATTGTCATTTAAAACATTTAGCATTTATGGTTTATTATTAAAGTCTTTTTATAGCACGATGTATTGTATTTCCCTCTGTTGAAAATCAACTCCTTGGTCAGCCCTTAATGTTCTGATTCAAACACCAGCTCCGGAGTCTTACTCCTTTAGATCGGTTTTCATTCCCCTTTAAGCATCATTGCATTCCTCACACTGAATTACTTTCTTTCAGCCTTTTATCCCTCTGTTCCAGCATTTTGTCTGTTCTTCTCGTCTCAGTCATGTACTCTGGTTCCCATGTGTTCATGGCAGACAGCTTCACTCCATCTGTACTGGCCATGGTTGGACAGAAACAGGCAAAAAATACTGTAGTAGTAGGCTAGATGAAATCTCAATAAGCATCCAGTATCCAAGGCTCTGCATTCCTTATATTTGTTTCAGACTTTTGAATGGAGAGACGTATATATATATATGTATGTATGTATGCATGCATGTATGTATAGTTGCACAGTCAATAAATGCTACTGAATGTTTGTTGCAGGTCTACAGTTCTGAACTTGCTGGAAATGTCTTCAATACTCAGAAACAAAAGGCCCTCATGATACGTTTTGTACTCTTTTCAGACCGATATCTTAAATCCAGAATCCTATGTCTGTATGGAGTTTGTAAAAGACATAAGTGGGACTGCAGATATGAACTGGATAGGCGGAAAGAATGTTAAAGACTTAGCTGAAGGAATTTAAGCTTTGATTCTGCAGCATCCTTCATTGTCAGCATCTCCAGTTACTGCCATAGATTGAGCATTTGACATGAAGGATTTAATTGGACATGATTTGCAAGCATGGTCTTGTAAATGCAGGGTGTTTATGGTAAATGTCTGTTTTCTGCAATCTCCCATAAATCTGATGTGGTAATAGATGAAATGAAGTCTGCGAGGTTAAAACTGAGAGCTGTGATGGTGGTCCTGAAGAATGGCCAGAATGTTGCAAGCAAAGGTGTTGAAAAGAAAACGGTGATCAGCACCACAGCTCCTCACATCTGCACCATGCATCATGTAAAAAAACAACAACACATGAAAAATAAAGACAGTGTTTAATAAGACAGAGGACAGAAGCAATGGACTGTGGAGACCCTCTGTGGACGACAGATTCTGGCTCTTTGAGATTGAAAAGAACACAGGCCATCTGTCTTACACATCCTCACCCTCTTGGATTCAGTGTTTTGCTTGTAGGTTGACAGTCCCTTTAGCACTCTAAATATCCTACCATGCAAATGTACACTCTCAGAAAGGGGCTGAACAAACAGTAATTTACCAGCGAGTATAAAAGCTTTATTTACATTGGCTAATAGCAATGTTTAAAGGTGCCCTTAATACTTTATTTTATGTTGCTCTGGCTGATAGCAGTCATCTTGGGCTGACACTTAGCAGCGTGAATGTAGCATCATACAAAAGCAAAGATTTTCAGGTACTGATGCCATTGTAGAAATGCACATTTTAATTTAGTATTAGAGTACTGATGACTGCAATCTTTACCTAATGTGAATGTCAAAAGTACTATTTATTTCAGTGTAATTTTAATGAGGAAAAATGAACATGCAAACAGTCCTTGCAATAAAAAAAATTAAAAAAGATCAGGAACCTTGTGCCATTTGGCCATATGGATGTTGTCAGTCACCTCATTGAGTACGAACATACAAATGTGTAATCTTGATGTCTTGCCTCTGGAGATTGAACTATTTTGGAAATCTTCACTCAGATGTTTTAAGTGAAAGGAATTCTCGTTTAGAATTATAATAAGTGTTGGCATCTGCTTCACAGACTAGAGTTGCAAAACCCAAAAATCATTCAAACAATCCAAAAAAAAAAAAACCCTCCAAAGTCTTCAAGATGTTAGATGGGAAGGCTCTTGCAAATAAATTAGCCTGCAACACGCTACCAGCTGGTCCAGTGGGTTCTTGAAGATCTGCTTGATCTCTCCGGGAACCATTAGGCACGTTATACAGATAAGCACAAACACCTGCAAACAAACCTTGGGAATTACATGCTTTTGTTGTCTAGTAGTGACGCATAGATCCTGTGTCCATGAGCATGTGTTGATTATAGGGATAAAGGACAGTAACTACAGACCCTCCCACTGCAGGTCTGAGCAGGCTATCATCGGCAGAAGCACCAATCGGAGTCCTTTTTAACTCGTCACAGCAATCAATCAAAGTCAGCTTCCAGATGTTCATGTCTCAAAGTGTAACATTATAAAAGCTTGTAAACATGTTAGCACATGATCAGACAATGACAATGTGGCACCATAGTTTGTCATAGGGCTTAACAGAAGTCATTTAGTCCTTGGGCAATTAAGTGACATAAATTAAGTGGGGATAATGGGAGTTGTTCAGGTCCTCTCTGCATTTTTATTGGGACCAAACAAAACTATATACAAATTTCCAACAAGGTTTTCTCAACCATCTTCCACTGTTTGGTACTTTTGCATCAGAAAATGACACGTTGGCTTTAAAAATTGACTTTGCTTTTGTTTGAGATTGCTAACCAGGGTGTGTGAATATGCACCCTGCTGTGCAGTTTCGGATGTGTAATGGGAGGTCTGGAGTCTTTCAGGCTCTGGGACAGCTGGGAATCTACTCAGGGCTGTTTATTTCCTTCTGTTAGATTCCTGACTGTCAGTAGAGTTGCCAGTCCCCCAAAACCATGCAACATACCTCTCTCATGCAATTCAGGATCAACACCAAGCCCTACTCAACTTGTTTAGATTTCTGTCAATGCACTCTGGGATACTGGTGGATCTCAGTTGAGAGTCGATTATCTCTTTTTGACCATCTATCTTAACATTATCTGGTTACTCTAGACTGCAATAAAGGGACCGTAAACATCCCCAGACCATAACAGCATCATGTGCCTTTGCCTTTTAGGACCTGCACTCTCCCACCTGGTATCAAGGCCTGTGAATACAAGAGGAGACAAAAGCAGTTTAAGAGGTATGGGGTACAAGGGTATATTTACACTAGCAGAAAACAAACTGCACCATCATAATAGATGAATCCACGTCCATGCTGCACAATGGAAATCGTCTTCCAAACAAGAGTTCTTTGATATTCTGACTGCAATGACATGGTCACTAGTTGCCATTCTTATAGTGAAGGCTTGACAAATGTAAACCTTCACAAGCACGTCTCAATCCAGAGTATGTGAATTCCTGTCCTCATGCTTTCCTAGATTCTGCATGGCATTATGAGAATCCTGGATACCAGGAGCTGACGGCGGTAGTCACTGAGGTTTCTGCCCCAAATCTGGAAGGTCCAACGGACATCTCAGGTGAGAGTCACACCCTAACTCTAGCCTTTCACTCAAAAGTGACAATCTAGTAAATGTCTTCCGACACTGTCAAAACATGCTGATATATATATATATATATATATATATATATATATATATATATATATATATAAATACATCATGCTCCTACATCTCAGCTGCCTGAAAAAATGACACCATGCACATAGTATTCATTCTTGCTGACAGCACTAACACAAATACTGCTATTTTTACCAATTAATTTGCGTCTAAAATAATATAGTTTATAAAAGGAGCTGTGTATGTTTACAAAGGCGCCAAAATGGTAATGTGAATCACTTGATAGGACCATGTTTCTAAACAAAGACATCAAGGTTCGGGTTGTTCCCAGGAAGTCCTTTGAATTCTGCCAACCATCCCTTCCCCCAGTACCTCTCTCTTACAGGGTATTTTCTCTTTCACCTTTAGCCATATTTAGCAGATTTTGGTTCAACGGGGTCTCCTTTCAACCCGTCACTGGCTCCATGTGCAATCTGAAATTGATGTTTGCTCAAAATCATTTGGTTTTCCAACAATTGTCCAATCTCTTGATTTTTCAGGCTGCGGTGATCTGGTGTGGGTCCAGGAGCCTGAGGTGCACCGCAAGGCTGACAGCATTGCTGGTAAATACGGTGTCTGGATGCAAGACCCAGAAGCTAAAGAAACGTATGGTCCAGAGATGGTATGGCGCATTGATGCCGTAGGGTCTGAAGTTCGTCAACTCTTCGGGTATGAAAACATTGACCAGCTGTCACGGGGCTTTCCCACTAAAGTCCTCCTCTTGCCAGAATCTATGGAGAGCACGGGTGCCACAATGTACAGAGGCTCCTTGTACTACCAACGAAGGCTCAGCCGCACCCTTCTAAGATACGATCTACAATCGGAGAGCATTGCTGCCCGCCGTGATCTTCCCCATGCTGGCTTTCATGGTCAGTTCCCCTACTCCTGGGGAGGCTACACAGACATTGACCTGGCAGTAGATGAGAATGGTCTATGGGCCATATACAGCACCAACAAAGCCAAGGGTGCTATTATGATCTCCCAGCTGGACCCTCACAACCTGGAGGTGAAGGGCACCTGGGAGACTAAAATCCGCAAGACATCCGTGGCCAATGCTTTTATGATCTGTGGCAATCTGTATACAGTAGCTAGTTACACCTCACCAAACACCACCATAAATTACATGTATGACACTGCAACCAGCCAGGATAAAACAATCTCAGTGCCGTTCAAAAACCGCTATCGCTACAACAGCATGGTAGACTATAACCCAGCACAGAGAAAGCTATATGCTTGGGATAACTATTACATGGTATCTTATAATGTGAGACTAGGCAAGCAGGAGTAAAGTGAAGACCTCAGCATAAATTTCCATATCACCCAGCTTATAGACTCGTTTTGTAATGTTGTAATATTAACATCCAGAGGGACAGCTATTGTTGGATTTACTGGAATTCAACTGGACAAGAATCAAGTATAAGTATGCTGATGACATTAATAATAGCACCAGCAGTAGGTGTGTGTGTGTATATATATATTTGTAATGAATACAGCAAATAACATTTTCCTGATAATATTCAAGCACAATGACTTCTATATAAGCTGCTATTTTCAAGACAACAGTTAAAGACAGTAAGCATTGCACATCTTCACATTAATAATTTATATTTTTGCATCAGTCCATGATCAATGCTATAAAATATATTCCTTTGACTAACAAATTCCAAAATAGATAAATTATCTAATCATGATATCAGGTTTTTAATAAATTGAGGCTATTTATGTCCTCTGTGATTTTGTCCACTTAACATGTTAATAGAGAAATTATTTTTCTACCTTTTTAAGTAACGTCTCTTCTTTTTTTTTTTTTGTTTACGGCACTGAATAAATTCAAGGAAGGGGGAAAATATAATGGCATACAATTCATTACAGTAAGCCTGCCTCTTGATTGATACATTGTACAGAGTTGTGTACGTGCTCTAATCCTTACGTAATTATGCTATCGTAACTCTGTATAAGTTAAATATTTTCAGTTTTCTCTTTTGAATTTGCCTCAAGACTTGTGTGCAGCTTGAGATGTTAAGATTGGAATCTTGTGGCTATGGAAGTGTATTAACTTATATGAAAATAAAGATTTAAAAAAAATCAGCTTTTCATTTTTTTTTTACATGCACAGAGGTATTTTAATGAACTCATTACCTCAAAACCAAAAAAAACTGACATCCCAACCACAGCTCATTTTTACAGCATATTATTTTATTAGTTTCGGTAACCAAACCAGGATAATGTAAATAAGACCTTACATATTTTAATACAGTAATTTAACCCCTGTACAAGTAAAACAAAAACAGAAATCAAAAGAAAAGAAAAAATCAATTCCCTCTCCTCCCCTTCTCTTTGTAGTTTCTCATTCCTACTAAACAAGAAATGGGGGGCCGTACTGAAACCCTTGTTCAACTGCAGGCCACTTCTTTGCAATAGCAACCCAAGAGGAGTGGTTTGGAGAAAGACCTTATATACTCAGGTCTGTGGTCACCATAACAGAGTAGTCCAAAACATGTGGTAATCTCTGTTCAAGACTTATCACTTTTTCCCCAAACCCCCCACTGAGTCTGGCAGCCTCACACTTGATGGCTCTTCTAAACTTGCAGCTACGCTCTTTAGCACTGAACCTAAATTGCTTGACCACTCACCCCAACCCAAACCTCGCCCCTCCTCTGCAGTGATTGGTCAGGAGAGTCAAAGCTGGTCAGCAGCATGGTTGGGAGCTGTGTGGAGAGGCTGGAAGGTAAAAGACTGGAGTTATAGAAGTGGGCATGTCTACATCTGTCCACATTCACAGAAAAGAGGAGGGGCTTAAGCTTAGGACACATCAAACATAGGCCTGGGTCTGGAGGAACCGTTTACAAAAAAAAATTCCATCATAATTCTACTATCTGTTGACCAAGCGGAGCCATCTTTGTCAAAATCATACATATTCATCTTAAAAGGATTCAGGTCTCTTGACGCCTAACCTTTGGCTAAAGATTCAAGGGTATTTTGCACACATGCAAACACACAATCTTTGATTCTTGAGACTGAGAAGGCAAGAGGGGAGGCTCACAGTGGAGACTGCAATCGATAAATTAATTGGATACATCGGTAATCAACTCCTAATCTGCTGAAATAATGTTCTATGTATTAAGGTCAATACACATGGTTGAAGTCAAAGTAAGTGTGAGTGCCGGTAATGTTGAGAGAGGTGTACACACATACACACTATAAAAGGATTCAAGGAAGGGGGAAAATATAATGGCATACAATTCATTACAGTAAGCCTGCCTCTTGATTGATACATTGTACAGAGTTGTGTACGTGCTCTAATCCTTACGTAATTATGCTATCGTAACTCTGTATAAGTTAAATATTTTCAGTTTTCTCTTTTGAATTTGCCTCAAGACTTGTGTGCAGCTTGAGATGTTAAGATTGGAATCTTGTGGCTATGGAAGTGTATTAACTTATATGAAAATAAAGATTTTTAAAAAATCAGCTTTTCATTTTTTTTTTGTATGCATGCACAGATATATCAATGAATTCATAACCTCAAAACACCCCCCAAAAAACTGACATGAAAACTACAGCTCATTTTTACAGCATTATTTTATTAGTTTCTGTAACCAAACCAGGAGAATGTAAATAAGACCTTACATATTTTAATACAGTAATTTAACCCCTGTACAAGTAAAACAAAAACAGAAATCAAAAGAAAAGAAAAAATCAATTCCCTCTCCTCCCCTTCTCTTTGTAGTTTCTCATTCCTACTAAACAAGAAATGGGGGGCCGTACTGAAACCCTTGTTCAACTGCAGGCCACTTCTTTGCAATAGCAACCCAAGAGGAGTGGTTTGGAGAAAGACCTTATATACTCAGGTCTGTGGTCACCATAACAGAGTAGTCCAAAACATGTGGTAATCTCTGTTCAAGACTTATCACTTTTTCCCCAAACCCCCCACTGAGTCTGGCAGCCTCACACTTGACGTTTCTTTTCTAAAATTGCAGCTACGCTCTTTAGCACTGAACCTAAATTGCTTGACCACTGACCCCAACTCAAACCTCACCCCTCCTCTGCAGTGATTGGTCAGGAGAGTCAAAGCTGGTCAGCAGCATGGTTGGGAGCTGTGTGGAGAGGCTGGAAGGTAAAAGACTGGAGTTATAGAAGTGGGCATGTCTACATCTGTCCACATTCACAGAAAAGAGGAGGGGCTTAAGCTTAGGACACATCAAACATAGGCCTGGGTCTGGAGGAACCGTTTACAAAAAAAAATTCCATCATAATTCTACTATCTGTTGACCAAGCTGAGCCGTCTTTGTCAAAATCATATATATTCATCTTAAAAGAATTCAGGTCTCTTGACGCCTAAACTTTGGCTAAAGATTCAAGGGTATTTTGCGCACACACGCAAACACAATCTTCGATTCTTGAGACTACGGAGAAGGCAAGAGGGAAGGCTCACAGTGGAGACTGCGATCGATAAATTAATCGGATACATCGGTAATCAATTCCTAATCAGCTGAAATAATGTTCTATGTATTGCTAAGGCCAATACACATGGTTGAAGTCAAAGCAATTTGTGAGTGCAGGTAATGTTGAGAGGTGTACACACATACACACGATAAAAGGTATGCAAGTGTGTGTAGACTTTTCATTGCATCTTTATCGCCATAACTGAAACATTGCTTGAGAACATAAGGAGAAAAAAAAAAAAAAGATTATGGGGGGAAAATATCTTCAATCAAAAAAAAGAAGACATTTGCCTGCCTAAAATGTGTTACTCTACACGAGGAAATGAGAAAGTGAAAAGTAAATCATATTGCTATAAAAATGGCATTCTCAGCAGCAAGTGTAACTCATGTTGATGTCTACCTTCATTGTTCACTGAGGATGTACAGTTCACACAATGGAGGGGCGCTTTCTCTGTAATGCCAACCACAGCGGAGGAGAGAATGGATGGACTGATAAAAGGATGAGGAAAACAGGCACAGTAAGTGTGAGGGAAATGCACAGCACCTCAAAACTAACCTCCATCACTCTACTTCCCTACACTTCTCTACCACTTTCAGGTGCTGTAGGACGTCGCCCCCCTCCCCTGGCACTCGGCCTCTCAGTCCATCCTTCCATCCGGCTGTCCTTCCTGAAGCAGTAACGACTATTTGCTCTCTTCTGGTTTGATGGCCTGTGGTTTGATCGGACCTGTCCGGATGGGTTTGGTTGTTGCAGATTTGTCAGACTCTGCGCGGTCTGATGGCGCCCCCTGGTGATTTGAAGTGATGATGTCAGTGGGTTTGCCTGCTCCTTCTATACGGGTTGGCTTGCTGACTGGAGCCTTGAGCTGTTGTTGCTCAGAGAAGAACTTGTGGGTAGACTGTAATACCTCTGCTCTTTGTTTAGCCTGAGAGAGAGAGCGAGAAAGATAAACATTTAAAGCCAAAACAGAAAATGACCTCATATACCACCTCTAAAGTAGTGCTTCTCAAATTTTTGTGACTCCAAGGCCTGAAATTCAAAAACGGACAATTCGACATCATTTTGTGTGTAATTCTCCGTTCATGCGACGCAAAACAGTACTCGCGCCCTGTGAGACGCGCTTTCTGTGTGTGTATGCTTCAGTGTCTGTGCTCAGAAAACCGGATCGAACTGAGTTCTCTCTTGCGTCGTCAGATTTATCCATGTCTGCTCTTCTCTTACTCCCACATATTGACATTTTTGAACGTTTTATGCGACGTGCAGCAAGTGTATGTTAGCTGTACGCATCTAACCTTCGAACCACGCAGCAGATTCGTTCTGAATGAATCTCTTCCCAAATCGTTGCTCCATAACAATTTCGTCTTGTTTTTATTCGTTGACGAAAATGTCAATAGACTTACGTCATAGTTTTTGTAATTCAAAAAGAGTTTGTTTATTATCGTCGGTGAAAAAAATGTCATTGACGAAAATGATGACGAAAATGATTCGTCAACTAAATTAACACTGCTGGATACAGATACTGGACAAAGTAATTAAAAAAAGTAAAATATTTTTGCTTAATTTCTACCCTATAATTCAGTGCTTGACTTACCTAGAAAATTATATTTATTATAAAAATGCTCAGGGAATATTATAATTTTGTTAACATCACTTTTACAATTGGGATACCTCAGGGCTGGAAGATGTGGCCAAAAATCATATGTATTTTTTGACTGGTATGGTATACATCTCAGTATTTTCTACATTTTTCTATTTGGATGAATAAATCCCAGATTACAATAGACAATTTACAGTTAGTGCCATCATAAAAATACACTTACTTGTAGGTTTAAAATTCTACGTCACATTTACACATTTAACAACAAATATTTGAGCTAAATTTAGATTTTAGTGAGAATTTTTGAACTAATTTCAATCAAAATCACCCTATTTACTTAAATGTGGTGATAATGCTCACCTTAAGGTCCTGTTCTGCTTTCAGAGCAGCCTGTGTGCCACGGGGTGCAAATGAGGGACCATAAGGTCCACGTGGAGGATGCTGGGGTCTAGGATGGGGCATCAGACCCCCACTCAGATTAGGGGACATGGGTGGACCCATGGGTGAACGCTGTACCACTCCAGGAAATGAGTTTGCATGGGGTTGACGCACCAATGGAGACACCATGTTAGTCTGAGACAGCATCTGTTTATGTGACAGACAGGAAATGCTGTTAATGCACAAGAAGTGTGATCAAATTAAATTTCCAACAACTTACTTTCTGTCTGTAGTAACTGACCTGTGGGTTGAACGGTCCTGGGAAGTGCTGGGCAATGCGCATTCCTGCAGATCCCGACTGGAACTGTTTGGGATACAGCATGCTGTTTATCCTGCTAGACTGACTACTGGGGCTTGTGGAGCTCACCCTGAGAACACAAACAAGGAAGCTGTCAGAAATCATACAAAATACGGCTACAACAGATCAGGGATATGCATCCAGTGTGCATGAAGGCCATGACACACCAAGTCGACCGTCATCTGTTGGCCAATATCGGGCTGACGTTCAGCATTTGTTCTTGCAATGTGTTCTGTACAGCTGCTACAAGTCAAAGGCTTTGCTGGCAACTCAACATGCTCAATCGGCTGAAGAGCCCATCAGTGAGAGATATTGCTTTGGTTGTTCAAGCTTAGCAAACCAACCAACCAACAAGAAGCAAAAAACAAGAGGCGAAAGCAAGCAAACGGCAAAGTTAAGAGGGAACAAACTAAGCAAGCACAGCTTTGCTTACCTTTTGTACACTACTGGTTGAAAAGACAACAGAATTGGGTTCTTTCCTTACACTACAATTTAAAGGTCCCATATTTTCAAAACTTTTCAAAACAATTTCCTGGCTTTTTTCATGATAACTGAAGTCTAGGTGCTATGTAACTACCATATAAGTTTCAAAACAGTCAATCCACAGACAAATGCACACAGCCTGCATAAAGTAGCTGTGCCTTTTCACAAGCCGTTGTGACTTCCGAAAAAAGGTGACGTCAGAACTACAGTCACCGCCTTCAGTCACCGCCTTCAGTCACCACCCTGAGCACTGCCCATCGTCCCACCCTCCTTTTGCCAAACCCCCAGACAACATCGCGTCCATGCCATTGCTGAGCAACAACACCACGGAAACATGTCAAGAAAACATTCAGTCGATGGATGTCAGGAAACTACATCACTGCACAGGCTTCCCTAGGATTGGGCCGATAGACGATGCCATCGTCCATCGCCGATGGCTGATAAACGTCACGATGTTGAGCTGGCATCGTGATCCTCCCATCTCCCCCTCATACTCCCCGCAATCCGGCCACATCCCAATACCATGTTCGGAAAGAAAATGAAGTGTTACGGAACCCCTAAAGTTAATAAATACAAGATGAGAGAAATACATTTCAATATTTTCTCTCGCAGTAATATCATTGGGTAATTATATGGTTTAAACTGCGGGAATCAGGCAGGGAGCCGCTATTAAGCCTGGCATTGAAACTGCTTTTGAATGCACGATTTTAGTTTCACTTTTGAGATTCGCGATCGCACATACTTTGTTTATACTATGGAGCGGCAGTACTTGCCACACATTTTATAAGATTAGAGGTTTGTCAGTGGTGCTCAGGATCTGCAATTCGCCATAGTCCTCAGTCATCTTTCCTTACTCCAGTGTATCCCCTGCCAGTGTTTCGGCCCGCCCCCCCCCCAACAGCATCCCCCACCCCCCTTGAAGGTCAAATTAATTTTATTTAATTATATTTTCTCTATAGCGCCAGATCACAACAGAAGTCATTTAAAGTTACCTTTCCTATAGAACAGGTATACCTTGTTCTTTTATTAAGCAAACTAAATAGCCTTAAGTTATTTATCTTATTTACACGACAGCATGTCATTTCGGTCTCTACGTTATGGTCACACTCCCTGTATCAGTTCCACGCACGCACACACACGAGCCCACTCCCACTAGTATTTGTAAATATTAAGCCGCAAAATATTGTGATATTAACGTCTGCCGTCTCACTAATGAGGACATAAATACATGAACAACATCTCCAGAACTGCTCTGAGAGTCACTTCATGAGCATTTGACCATTTAATTTAAGTAAAACTATCACCATGTCATACACACACAGAAATGTAAAGGTATTCATGGCAACCCATCAAAATAAAAGTTCGGTTTAACTTGAAGGCATTGGCAGAAATATATTATGATTGTTGAGTAGAATGTACGTAACAGGCTGCTACTACTACTACTACTAGTGCTGGGCGGTACACCAGTTCATACCAAATATCGGTGTTTATATTTGTTATATGAATTTTTTAAATACCGCAATAAGTATGTCGCTTAAACATCATTCACGCGACACTGTTTGAAAGGGGGGGTCCCTTTTCACTGTTGCACTGTGGTGAGGGAACAGCTGTATGTGTTACTAAGCGTGAAAGTTCCGAAACTGAAGCTGTAGAACTAATAGAACGAGATGACACAGAAGAACTCATCCACTAACTATATCCACACGCACCGCTACAAATTTCCACCGCCCCCTGCCATCAGCTGCCGCGTCTCTCACACACACACACGAGCGCGACTTTAGTACTAGATTTAGCAACTTTTTTTCCATAGATAGTCATACTGACAAACCTAGCGACTTTTTTGGATAAACCTTAGCTATGGTTCAGTTGGAAGATTTCGCCAGTGCTGTCCCGCGAATTTAATCTGTTGTATTATAGACTATTTTTATTCATGCTTACGATAAACCACTCATTCATATAAGTAACTCTACCATGTCTAGTATCTATGAATTCGTCTTCGGATGATCTAACTGAGAGTGCATATTACATGCTGATACCTCTGCAACATATTGATGTTCTAAGAATCGGTACTAATTTGTGAATTTGTGCCCCAGCGAATTACATATGCAAAATACCATGCTTACAGACAAAGAGTCATAAAAATCCCCAGTATTTCCAACTTTCCAACCTCGGGACGTCTGCCTTTCTCATTGGACAAGCCATCTTGAGAGGCGTGAATCTTCTCAGACATTAAAGGCCTCACACCAGGGACCTGCCCAGAGTCGGTGGTTTGGTTGAATTCTGAGAAGATGAAGACATGAGCTAGAACACTTCTGCAACCCGCTAAGTTCGTGCCAGGCTTCGGCCTTGACTTTTCCATTCACCAAGATTCTCTGACTCAAACTGGTTCTTTTTCATCAACCAACTTCAGCAAAGATCAACTTGAACCTTTGGACTGCATCAAACCTTTCTTTCAGACAGACATGCAAGTATCAAACTTAGTCTTATTAATTGATACATTAGGTATCATTTGCACCTTTTTACAAAGGTGTGTTTGAACTAAGAATCTGATGTTTCCTTCAGGCGGTAGATCTGCTGAATATGCAAATGGTTCCATAACTTCATATTCTTATTTTCTCTCCTCTTTACTGAGTTAAGCTTTAACCCTTTCCTATACCAACTGTATGCGTGTGTGTGT